GTGACTGTGTAATGGTGGAAATCAAAACTCAGCAAGGCCATGACTGTGCCACGGAAGTCCAAGATAACAAAGATGGTAGCTACAAAGTCAGATATTTCCTCAAAGATACAGGAAAATGTCAACTATCAGTGAAAGCAAATGGAGAACATATTCATGGCAGTCCATTTAATGTTGAGGCGAAACCCAGACAGTTTAGACCCTTGTTATCTTTTGGACAAAGGGGTTCCTCAGCTGGAATGCTTAACGGCCCATATGGAGTGGCAGTGAATGAACGAGATGAAATTTTAGTGACTGACAATTTTAACCACAGGGTTCAGGTATTTAGTAGTGATGGAACTTACTTAAGATCTTTTGGTAGGAAGGGTGATAAACAGGGAGAGTTTAATTCCCCTACTTGCATAGCGCATGATAAGAATAAGAACATAATTGTTGTGGACACCGACAACCACCGCGTTCAATTGTTCAATGATCAAGATGAGTACCTGAACCAGTTTGGTGGCGAAGGAAATCTTGATCACCTGCTGAGTAGTCCTTTTGGTTTATCTGTTGACGGGAATGGAAATATCATTGTTGCCGATACGGGCAACAAATGTTTAAAAACCTTTTCATCCAATGGCCAGTTTTTGTATAAACTTGGTGAAGGTGAAGCTTTTACTGCTCCTTCTCACTGTATTCAATATAACAAACATCTTATAGTGTCAGACGGTCGTGAACATTGTATCAAAGTATTTGATATAAATGGTGATTTTTTGTACAAATTTGGAAATAAGGGAAACGGGGATGGGCAGTTCAATGCACCTCGTTTTTTGTCAGTTAACAAGGTAGGACACCTGATGGTATGTGATAGAAACAATGACAGAGTTCAGGTATTTGAACTGAGTGGTAAATTTGTAACAAAGTTTGGAAAGAGAGGTCATGGGCCAGGAGAGTTCTTACGTCTAACATCTACAGCGGTTCTTAGTGATGGCAGGATAGTTGTGGCTGATTGGTTTAACCATCGTATTCAGATACTTGGTTAAATGTTGATAAATGCAACTTCTGTTACATTCAAACTATGAAGTAATTCTGAAAAAAGCTGCATCGCAACACCTAGGTTTTTTTTTCTTTCTGGTTTGAATTGGTGTATCGTGTATCATATCGCTCATTTGTAATCTTAAGATTCTAGTTTCTTGAGAGTTCTACAGTCCATGTTGTACAGCAGTTCTTAGTGATGGCAGGATAGTTGTGGCTGACCGGTCGAACAGTCGTATTCAGATACTTTGGTAAATGTTGATAAATGCAACTTCTGTTACATTCAAACTTTGAAGTAATCCTGAAAAAAGCTGCATCACAACACCTAGGTTTTTTTTTCTTTCTGGTTTTAATTGGTGTATCATATCTTAAGATTCTAGTTTATTAGTGAGGGAAAACACCAGAGATCGAAGAAAAATTGCTGTGATAGTGCTTTAGATTCTAGTTTGTTAGAGAGAGCAAACACTAGAGATTGAAGAAAAATTGTTGGGATAGTGTATTCACTATTGAAAGAGAAGCATCAATCAATAAACTGAGTTTGATCGAATGAGGAAAGTAAGAATCTGTTTCAGAGTGGTCAGCTTTCTAGTGTTACTTACATACGTTTAAACGACAGGGTTGTGCAGCTCAGTTAAAATTAATTCGGGAAATGGAAGTTCAGTTCCGTTCGGCTCAAATTCGGCTCGTGAGGTAAACCTCCAAACCATATTCCTTACAGCAATGTATAGATGATAAGCTTTTAGGATCACACGTTTTTTCCCCTGACTGATTCTTATGAATGAGAGTGAAAAAAATTCCACTTTTTCTCAACTATCTGAACATCCACTTACCACGTGTTTGTTTTATCATTGGAAGGTGCAAGGGCTCTTAAAACTGTAAAAATATTTTAACTATCAGTGACTCGAACAGTATACTTGCTCCCCGTGTTTAAGGACGATCTATTTCCCTGTGTCTATGTGGTCAAAGAGGAAGGATCAGTTCAATACCATTTTTCAAAACCTTCAAAATATTTCCAAAAACACAAGTCACTCAACACATCTCAAAACAACAATCGAAAGTTGCGAGTTCAGTTTGAGTTCAATTCTGAACTAAACTCTCTAAGCCTAGCTTAATCGTTCGCAACAACGAAAATGATTTCGTTTCTCTTCTTCCCCAAGTAAAGAAGATTTTCATACCTCGCAGTGAAAACCACTTCTTCATCGTACCTCTTTCCCTCATTATATTAAACCCTCTTCAAAGTCAAGATTTCCTCCAGCCACTTCACTTCGGTAGCAAACCCTTTAAAGCTCGATACGTAAGCAAAATGCTCGGCCAGATCTTGAATAAACAAGTCACCTTCGCTTTGAGGTGGAGGCCGGTTTGAATTTTCATAGGCAAGATGCAGCTATAGGATGAACTCTCCGACGCCCAATTTCTGTCTTCTCGGAAAACCATTCGCAGTTTAGGCGAAAA